GCTCTGTACCTATATAGGCCAGGAGAAGACAGTAGGGAGGGAGGGGTGTGTGTGTGCAGTATGTATGGCCCCCCGCTGGTGAAAATAATTGGAGGCCGATATTACTGCGCTTATTTTTAAGCTGGGTAGGTAGTGGTATCTTGTGAAACTAGACAACGTAAGGCATTCACTGGTACCAACCATGTCAACACAGCTTGTCGGGAAGGGGGCGTAATAATGCTCCAAAATTAGGCTAAATGTTGGCGAGGGACTAACTGGCATGGCCATTTTCATAGGGAGGTCCCCTGAACTCTCACGTTAAGATATCTGAATGAAAAAAGGTTATATGGGTACACAAGAATCTCCCCTAAACTTGAGAGGGCTTGTTCCCAGTACATGTTTTGTTCGTGACAATCAATGTACTGTCATATTGACATACTTTTCAACTATGGAATTCCTGAAATTCAGTTATGGTTTTTGGTTTTGGTGCGCCACCCCAAGACTTTCAGTGGCCCCATCTGAAACATTTCTGAGAGCACCACTGGTAGAAGAATCCAGTAGAAGAACTTCAATCCTCCATTTCACGTAAAAGTCCTTCATTCAAATTCTACTCATGAAAGAGTACATTAGTATTGGTGACATGTACTATAAGTATCAAAAGGTAAAAGTCCTGGTGCTCCTGTCACTGATAGACTGTTCATACTGATGCTGGTGGAGCTAGTTTTAACCAGTTTATATACAGTTAGACAGTTTAGTCCAGAGGTTCCCAATCTAGAAGTCAGGCCCCACCAAAAGGTCACAAGGTAAATCTGAGGGTTTGTGATACAATTAAGGGGAGAGGAAATAAGATCTGTTAATCAAATTTTTTTAATTAGTTATTTAAAAGAGGGTGGCATGGTGGTGTGATGGTTAGCACTGTCGCCTCACAGCAAGAGGGTTTCCGGTTCGATCCCGGGTGTGGGAGCCCTTCTGTGCGGAGTTTGCATGTTCTCCCCGTGTCAGCGTGGGTTCTCTCCGGGCACTCCGGCTTCCTCCCACAGTCCAAAGACATGCAGATTGGGGACTAGGTTAATTGATAACTCTAAATTGTCCGTAGGTGTGAGTGTGAATGGTTGTCTGTCTCTATGTTTCAGCCCTGTGATAGTCTGGCGACCTGTCCAGGGTGTACCCTGCCTCTCGCCCGATGTCAGCTGGGATAGGCTCCAGCCCCCCCACGACCCTCAAGAGGATGAAGCGGTTAGAAGATGAATGAATGAATGAATATTTAAAAGGGAACTATCTGATCAGCTTAGAAAGGACATCACTCTCTGGTGGAACTGCCAAACACTGAAACACAAGTAACAAAGGGTCTCAGCTAAGGCTATCAGAAGTATTGGTACTTCAATACTGTTTCAATACCACGTGTTTAAAACAATACAATCTACATTATTATACATTTGATATCACTTAAAGTACCATAGCTATAAAAAAAGCACAGCTGTGCAATTAGATTTTCAACCCCAGGCTGCACAGATGAAACAACAGTGAAGAAAATCAACTGGTCCTCAACCTGTGGCTGTTACAGCATTCTCTCCAGGAACGAACCCACCACGTGACTGGAGACGTGTTCAGAGACTTTTTCTGTACCAGCACTGTGTGCAGGTTGTTAATTTAAAAAAGAAATCCTCTTTTGTGTCCCTAGGACCTATTTTCATTTTGCCGTGGTATGAAAAGAGGTACTGAGTATCATTCTTCATACTAGTATTGTATCAAAGTTTAAAATTTGGGTAACATGACAGCTTTAGCCCAAATCAAACATGAGTCAAAATGGTTGGGAACCACGGGCTTTATCTTTATTCGACAGGACAAATGAAGCATGAAAGGCAGAGAAGGAGAGGGGATGACATGCAGCAAAGGGACGCAGGTTGAATTGAACCTGCAGTCGTTGTGGCAAGGACACTGCCTTTGTACATGGACACCCACGCTAACCACTCAGCACCTTCAAATTTAAGTACAGTAATTAAGTAAATGTACTTTGTTAATTTTCAATACTGCTTTATGCTGAGAAAAAAAAAACAGACCTTCAAACTATTGTTTGGAAACTGGTATTTTTCCTGCTCCATCCTCACCCCACGTCCTCTGGAGTATCTGCATAATCACAGAAAGCCTTGTGAACCATATAATTAAATTTTTACCTTGTAAATGAATTACATGCTGCCCTGCATTCTCTGCTGTAATAGAATAGTGGAAAAGGCTGGGAACAAGAAGTGCAATCAACAGTTTTAAAGGCCAACAGGAAATACTTACAGCTATTTAAAACTTCACTGTAGCACAAGTTTAATTTGAAGGCTTTATTCACAAGTGTTCAGTTTGCCCTCCAAAAGCCGATGTTGTAAATTCCATTTCATTTGAAAAGCGAAAGCTGAGCTTTGTTGGAAAAATGTAGGACTAAATTTATCATAATGAATATATGCAGGTGAAATGTGGCTCTGTCTAAGTGGCCTTAAAGTGGAGAGTGTTCTCGCTGTGATACAGTGGGGCTGCCAGACGTCTTTCTATACTCAGCCTGCGTCAGGGTTATTCAACTGTACAAAGACTCATGTTGTGAATGAATGTGTGGGCTTGTGGGGCGAGGCACTCAGGCATGGGTGTGTACCGTCACAGCCTCCAACACAGGGTATTTGTTTTTATTTGTTCCTGCTCCTGGAGGTTTGCTGTTAGGTTTAAACTGTGCCAATGTGTGAAGTGAAAGAACCCAAGATGTTTCACAGATTTCACTTTAGAGGCTGTCGGGCCATCACATAACCTCAACAGTATCATAACAGATCAGCCACTCGAGCATGTAGATAAGGTGTGTGTGGACTCCCAAACAGATTTCATACAATATTATATATTTCTTATTTGCTAGTTACTCAACTACTGTACTACAATTTTGAGATATTCAAAAAGAATATTTCCATTTCCAGACTCAACTACTGTACTTGTTACTACACTTATTTGACAGCTTTAGTTACTAGTTACTTTATTGATTCGGATAACCAATTAATAATTTTGGATGTATTGTAGGGGCTGCAACTAGCTACTTTTTTACTGTTGATAAACTTGTAGATTATTTAACGATTAATAGATTAGTTGTTTGGGCTATGAAATGTCAGAAAATGATGAAAAATGTCAATCAGTGTTTCCCAAGGCCAAATACAACATCCTCAAACATTTTATTTCATCCACAACCCAACGATATTTAGATTACTTTCACAGAGGAATAAAGAAACCACACAATATTCACGTTTAACACACTGGAATCAGAAAATTTTGATTTTTTTTTTCTTAAAACTACATCAGTTAATTGATAATCAAATTAATTGGTGATTAATTTAATAGTTGAGAACTAATCGCTTAATCCATTACTGCAGCAGATCTAGTTATTAGTCTTTAGATTAAACTACCTATAAGGTTGTAGCAAAGAAGTAAAACTAGCGCCATCTTTACCAGCTGCAACATTAGGGATGTACACATTAATGCAGTCATAATTATAATCCAATAATATAATAAAAATATTCTGAAATGGGTCATTTGGCACAATGAAAACTTTAATTTTTGGTACTTTAAGTATAATTTGTGTGCTTTTACTTCAATATTTTTAAATACAGGACTTATAACAGACATTTTCTACACTGTGGAATTACTACTTTTACTACTTTCGTCACCGCATGTTGAGTTCTGGGAAAGTGCAATGGATGGACATATATTTACATTTATAGAATAAGCAATTAATCGAAATACGAATCAGTAGATCAATCAGTAAGAAAAACTGTCCCACACAAAATAAATATTTATTAAAGGTACTTATAGCAAGTAGTAGGAAAGCCATAACTGGCAAAGGGTTGCAAGTTGTACAAAATATTGGGAGATATAAATGGTACAGGTATAAATGCTGCTGAGAAAAGTGTGACACTATGCCAGGATGTAAGCGAAAAATGTACTGTGATTTGACCTCATTTGTCACACCCATGATGACCTGATGTTCTTTGTTTCTTAAATAAAACTAGAGTTACAAAAAAGAAATGTGGACTTTCACACAGGGGAGCTTGACTTAATTGACAAAAAAATAACTTTAAGATTGATAAATGAAACTAGATCATATGTTTGTGGCCATTAAGACCTCACAAATTCCAACATAAGTCCATTTATTGATTTTTAAGGCCTGATATTTATAAAATTTAAGATACTTTAGGACTTTTTAGGGACGTGCAGACACACTGTGGAACTGGCAACAGAGGATAATGCTTATAAGGAGCATTAAAATGCTTTTGATTGATGCAGTTGGCGACTTTTCTCATTTACATTAGTTCAAAGTAATGTCCAAGTGACCCAAAGGTCAATGTACTTTAGGCCTCTTTCACTTAATGATCATACACAATACAGAGTAACTCTTCTTCATACTCGAAAGAAGAAATACATGATTCCTAAGTTGTCCCTAAGTTGTCCCTTAACATTATCCTGCCAGTAGCATATGCTTGTGTCAAAGACAGACATGCAAGTCTAAGTAAACACGGCTGGTACAGTGAAACTGCAAATGACTCATTGAATCAGTTAAAGTTATTTATTTCCACTAAAATGTTTTCTTAAAAGTGTCTATTTTGGGACAAGGCCTGGTGCTGTACACTCTGGATGTGATGCGCTATTTCCCCTCTGGTTTGCCGTGATGTCACCATGGGAAAATAGCTTATGGGACTTCAGTCTCTGATTGGTAGAAGGCAGCCTTCAAACTAGATGTGTAATAAAAAACTGGATTTTCTATAAGGATGAGAACTACAGAATACCACGGGGATAACACTAACGGTGAAGGTGAGGGCTCTCTTCCCTCCTCCAGTGTCACTCTGGTGTTACTTTGAGGAGGTTGAGTGGGAGGAGATATGCAGATTGTGCCAGTGGGGCCCTATTAGTGGCGCCTGTAGTCCGCCAAACTCACAGTGGACTGTTGTCACTCTAACAGAGTCCACCACACCCACAGCCTGCGTTAGGGTCAACATTCACAGGGTGGCATTCTGCTTTATAGCACAGCCAAAAAGGTTGTACTGCGGAGACTCAAGTCTTTTTCTGACGGCAATTTTATAGTCGTTTCTCTGAGTTTCTGTGTTTTGAGATATCTTGTTCTGTCAGACACCAGGAAATTCAGTAATTTCCATATCAAGAGAACGGAGTGGAATATTTAGGGTATTACTTGACCGTGACGGACAAATGCTTTTCTTTCTTCTGTGAGATCACCTTTACCTCAGTTTGAAGACTCTTTACACTCAGCTTTTGACATTGGATATTTAAGGATGCATTTTGTGATGGCTGTGAGTCCTTTTGTGTTCATGACTCTATTTTTGTCACTGGTTGAAACTAAGTTCTACAGACCATTTCAGTTCAACCAGTATAAAGCTGGGCTCATGCAACACCACGACCAAGGGAAACCCACCAGCAGACACAAGTAAGTCCTCTCTCTATCTGTCTCATGCTGTCAGGAGTCAAGACTACATCACTTAACATCTTAATGTATATTTTACTTTGAGTGGCAACATTTTGTATTTTGAAGCCAACTAAAACACACTTCAATTCTGTCTCATTTATCTCCTCTTTGAAAGAAACCACTGTGCCTATGTGGTTGAAAAGACAGTATCCTTCACGGTGCAGGATGGGGCAGCTCCATATGTAAAAGCAGAGTACAACAAGTGTTCCTGGGGTCAAAAATGTCCAACTCTCCAGTAAGTAAACAACAGCTCTCATCATGCTGTGTTGACATTTTTAAAAAATGGGATTTACATCACTTTAGGGTACAAAATATTAACGTCAAGAGCATGTTTCTGACTGATGGCTTGTTGTTTCCCTAAGGTATCGTCTGATGTACAAGCCAATGTACAAGGTGGCGCATAAAACCGTCACAGAGCTGGAGTGGCGTTGTTGTCCTGGATACTCTGGTTATGGCTGCATGGAGGGACATCCGGTCTACCAACACCCCATCAAAATGATGCCGCCATTCAAGGGTCCGCCCATGAAAGGCCCACAGTTTAAGGGGCCACAGTACAAAGGTCCCATGTTCAAGGGTCCCATGTTTAAGGGCCCACCTATGAACACTGTTGTGAAGGCCAACCCGTGGAGTCAACCCAAAGGACCTCCCACCGGCAGTTTTAACTCTTACCCAATGCGCCACTTTGGGCCTCCAAGGACCTCCTCCTACCCAGACACCTCCTTTGAGCCTTTTCCGTCTGAGCCAGAGCAAATGCCAGAGCACCAGGAACCTCATCACACAGAGCATGACCAAGAACATGAGCATGAACATGAGCATGACCATAGCCAAGGACCTGAGGAACACATACCAGAGGAAATCCCACTTCCTCCCTCTGGTGGTGAACAGCCTGAGGGTGAGACCACAGGTGTGTACGAGTTCCAAATTACATACTAATTCCAACTGGGTGTGACTATGTAGTGTCTTCACCAAATAAGACAATTTTTTTTTATCATATCATATTGATCCAGATTTTAAAGTAGAAAGTGTATTAGGTTTATTCGAATGTTTACAGCTTTTCCTTCTCTCTTTAGGCCCTGCTCGAGACAGTGAGACAGAGGAGCGAATATATCGAATGGAGGAGGATGTGCAACGTCTAAACCAGGGTCTTGAGACCCTGAGGGGAACTGTAAATGGACTGGAAGATAGTCTACGAGCTTCACTGAGAGAGGATGCCAACAGGATGCTGTCAGCTCTGCTCTCTGCTGCCCCTGGTCCTGTTCCTGCTCCAGCTGTAGCCTCTGCTCTATCCACTGTAGGGTTTGTAGAGATTCCTGGGGGAGACCCTGCGACAGAGGGTCTAGATGGCAGACATATTTTTCCAGGCCTTACAGAACTGAATGGAAGAATAGAGGAGCTCAGGACAGAGCTGCAAGCCAAGACAGCAGAGCTGCAGGAACTCAAAACAACGGTGATGGGGCATGATGGGGCACTAAAGAAGATGTCAAACACAGCGGGAGTGGTATCGGACTCCACTGGCAATCTTGGGGGAAATGCCCAGAAAGCTATGGAGAAGTTGATGGATGCCAAGCTGAGTGGAGCCAGGACAGAAATTCTTGGTGGGTTTGAGAAGCGTGTAGAGAGTGCAGAGGACCGGTGCAAGGAGAAAGCTGGGGATTTGCGTCGTCAGTGCCAGAGGGAGCAAAGTGTGAGGCAGGAGCAGATGGAGGACGCTCTGGAGGAAAGCAACACAAACTTGAGAACAGAGTTGAGAAACCTCCAGGTTCAGATACATGGTTTAAAGGCTACGGGGAACTGCTCTGATACAGTTAGTGGACTGACTGAAAGGGTGCAGATGCTGGAAACATCAGTGGCAGGCCTCAACCAGTCCCAGGGCCACCTGAGAGTGGAGCTGGGAGGACACAAGGACCACATAGAGGGAATACTGGAGGGACGACTGGGGTATGTAGAGACCAAGCTCAACCTGACTGGGCAGATTCAAAGCGATGAACCTGGAAGGCACAGTGGTATCCATGGCAGAGCTGAGACAGGACAGGGCATGGAGGCCAGAATGGAGAGTAAGCTAAGGGCTCTGGAAGGCCGTTTACTGACGGCGTTGGAGGAGCTGGGTAATGCCACTGCACCCGCACTGCTGGAGGGTCATGCTGTTCCCACTCTGGAGACAGAGCTCGAGTCCCTTCGAGGGAGACTTGAGGTGGATGTGGACAGAGTGCAGAAGCACCTGAGCAGCCTTGAGACTCTCTGCTCCTCTTCTTGTTCCTCACCCCAAAAGCCATCTGCCATCCAGGGAGACTCTGCTGCTCCAAGCACTGAGCTGGCAGAGGAACAGAATGTGAAAGAGGCACTGGACATCCAGGGTGGCCGTTTGAATAGCCTCAACGTCACACTACAGAACATCTTGAGGCGTCTGACCCTCAGGGACCAGCAGAAACAAGCAGAAGGAGAGTACCCCATCCAGGGAGAGCTCACAATCCTCAAGTTTAACATGCGCACAGTCAACCACACCCTCAAAAACCTCCAGGATTCCCTGGGGACGGTGGTCCAGCAGGTGGATCAAGCCAACAGCTCCTGGCATGGGAGAGAGGCTCGTCTGGCCCAGCAGATAAAGGGTGTGGTGCAGCTGGTTGGACATCAGGCGTCCATGCTTGGGGCAGGTGAGCGCAGACTGACCCGCGTTAAAGGTGAGCTGCAGGAGATGAAGAGGCGGCTAGCTGAGGAGGTCCGGGGCTGCCGGAGCACAGCTATGGGGGTCCAGAAAGAGGTAACTGAGGTCGGAGGACGTGTTGCCAGTGTGGAGGACCAGTGTAAGGGCCTGAATTCCTTGGCAGATGACCTGGAGAGAATCAGGGAGGAGTTGGAGAGACAATCGAACGGGCTTCTCACGCAAGTCAACGGGACTCTGTCCAGCCATGCTCAGCAGCTGTCAGAGCTGAGAGGCGAACTCAGAAACTGCACCTCCCAGGTGGAGCCGACACAACAGAGTTTAGATCTGAAGCCTGAGCTGGAACGAGGGGACACCTTCACTTTGAATTAGCTCAGTTTATACGGACGATAGATTTTAAAAAATGAATGAAAAAGGGGAAATACTTTGCAGGTGTACTGGGGGTCCACTAAAACCCTACCTTATTATTTGCATTGTAAGACACAAAGGTTTTGAATCTGCACTGAAATACAGATGGTTACAGTACAAAATAAAAACAAAAATGGCAGCTAAAACTGCACTAATAAAGCAGTATCTTGAAACTGAATCACAAAGGTGCTTAAATTAACTCCTTGTTGTAATGGACCATTAGTTAAAGCCGAAAGATAAACAGCTGCACGTTTAAATGTACTGTTCCTGCAAAGCTTACAGATTATTGTATTGTTTAACAATGTTTACATGTTTAAGTTTTTGTACTGATTTTTCTTATGTCTAGACTAGAAATATCCAAGATGTTATGTTTTTATATGATTTCAATTTGTGAGCATGTGTTCCTATTCTGATTGTAAACCTGCATAAAATGTTTCAAGTGATATACAGTTTATTTTTAAGGTTTTTCAACACTGAGAATTCAATAAACAAGTTTCTTTACTATTCATGCTTTCTTGGTCAACAGATGTGTCACACGAGAGGTGTTAGATACATATATATTGGATTAAATGTATAGATACATTATATTAAGGACTTTTCTGGTCCAACACTGGACCCACTTATTCAAAACTAATCTGATCAGATTTTGGCTATGGGATTAGATCAAATCCTTAAAATGGGTTGTTCAAAATAAAAAAAAGGATTCTAAAATTGGATAGATCATGTACTGTAATCCAGTTTTGGTTTTGATCAGGATCAAACCTTCAGTATCTGTTGTTCATTACTTTTTAGTAGGATTGAGAGACCATTGATAAAAACAAAAAAACAAACAAAAAACCCCAAAACAAAACAGGGTGTTGTTGTCACATTGTGATATGTAGTCTCATTCAAAGCTCGGATTATCCAGATTTGGTAATCTTGAAAAGTCTTTATCTGAATTAGATTGATCTAATCCAATGTTGATTTGAAAATCCATCACAAAAGTAAAATTAATTAACTGATCCTGGACAGCAAACATGGAATTTCCAATTCATGGTTATTCTGATGCAGACTGCATCTTTTAAAACAGCTGGACCCAGTTGTCCAGAGGTAATCTTCTCAGATTTTGGCTATGCAAGTGAATCAAATTTTGAAAATGGGTTGTTCAAAGTAAAAAAAAAGATCAGACCTTCAGTATTTGTTGTTAAAAGTCTTTAGTAGAAATGCAAATACCTTTGAATGAATCAAAAAACCTGGATTATCCTAATTACAGCAGTAGGGTGGATTCAGGGTGGATTTCAGGAACAAACTATAATAAAACTTTAAAATTATTCAAATATATATACATGTATTTATATTTTGCACCTGATTTTTTAACCGTTACAGTGACAGCACATAAAGTATGACATTATCATACCTATTAAGCCTTTCAGTAGTTAAAAAAATCCAGTAAAATAATCCACTAAAATATTGTCATTATCAAACAAAAATATTTAACTTTCATTTATTACTTTATATTAATTACATCAACAAAGTCAAATCTAGTTTCTAACAATTGCATCCCCTATCCTATTTTCTGTCACTCTGAATACAAAAAAATACTTAAAGTGACCCCAAGCTGGCTTTGAAACTAGTTGTTCTTTACAGAGCTAGTAGCACACACTGTGATAATGTAATCCCATTTAGAGCACTGGTTAGCTGGACCTGGTAATCTTGATAAGTCTGATCCAATCCAGTGTTGCTTTGAAAAACCGGCACAAAAGTAAAATGGATTAGCTGATCCTTGAAGACAAAAAATGGGATTTCCAAATCTGCATCATTCTGATGTAGAATATTTTTTTTAACAACTGGGCTCTGGATTCCCAAAACTGGAGGTGAGGGGTGTTGGTGCAGAGAATCAGGAAAGCCACAAGAGGGCAGAAGAGAAGCATTAATACTGTCGACTGCTGGGAACTGGGGAGCCTTGATTTGACTGAAGCTACTGTATGTTCACGCAGATTATAAATTACAGGCTCCATTCCAAAAATTAAGTGTATGAGGACAGCCCTTGCCTGCCAGAGAAAAATTACAAATTGGCATTATTTCCAAGGTGATACAGAAGGACAAGGGGGACCTCAGTACAGAGGAGTACAGTTCTCTCTCTCTCTCTCTCTCTCTCTGGGCCAACAGCTCATCTTTATGAGTGCTGTTCTCAGTGGATGTTACAATAGGACGATAGGTGACCTTGCTAATAACCCTCGCCTGTTAGTTCCCGTTCCTCCTATCGGACAAACAACCATTAAAATGACAGCTATGTGGGAGATGAGCCCACTGCTGTGTGCAAACGTTTTAACCGCAGACATGTGGTGAATAATAACTACGGAAATGCCGGTGAGGAAAAGGAGGGCAGGCAGAAAAGATAGACACAGAATTTGTGTCGGAAGAGCCGAGTGATGGAGCGACCCGGAGACACAAATAAAAACCTAGGTAATGATGCGCACACATACAGAAAGTGAGAGAGATATTCCACCACTGCTTCCAGAAGCAACCTTTTAGACACAACCTTCAAACTACTTGTGTTTCATTACTTTAAGTGCAAACAAATATAAAAGCTATGTAAGAGAAATAAATGAATATAACAGGGCACTGTCTGAAATACTGTCCTCCTTCTGTTACGCAGCAAGTCTCACGTCACTTCTCAGAAGAGCTGCAATGATTAATCAATTACTTGTCAACTATCAAACTATTCACTAGTTAATCTGATAGTCCATTAATCCGTTTGAGTATTTTTGTACAGAAAAAAAGCCCAAACTCTCTGATTGCACCTTCTTAAACGTGAATATTTTCTGGTTTCTTTACTTCTTTATGACAGTAAAATAAATATCTTTGGGTTGCAGACAAACAAGACATTTCGAGACATCATCATGGGCTTTGGGAAACACTGACTGACATTTTCCACCATTGTGTGACATTTTATAGACCAACCAATCAAGGAAATAATAGACGGATTAATCGACAATGGAAATACTCGTTAGTTGCAGCCCTAGTTCCCATGTAAATAATTATTTGTGTTTGTCTTCTCTGTATTCCTCTCTCCCTCCCTTGAGAGTTCACGTCTCACACAAGCCCAGACAACAACACATTAATCTTGTTTGTTTCCAAGTCGACACTTGGACAGAAAGGGGAGTCAAGGGGGCTCTGGTGAATTTGTCTCTTCTGACTCAAGAGTCTCTTCACTGCTCACTCATGGATCCCATTCTGATTTATGCTCCCTGCACAACTCTCCAACTGTCACTGGCCAAGGCATGCACCCACATCACAAAAGGCAGAGCTGGCACAGAGGACAAAGGATGTTTGAGTTTACAGAAGGCTGCAGCCGTCTGAAACGTGAATCATCCTATATAATGTCCTCTGCTGAAGCTTAAGGTGAGAGAGGAGTTTGTGTCCTCATTATAATGATGGTCAGACAGCGGACGGCGTTGATACCAGTTGGCTCACACACACACACAAGGAAGCCCAGGAGAGGGTTACTACAAATCAAGGACTCAGAGCTTCTTAGTAATAAGCTCCAGGATTTGACATTTTTCAAGAAGCAGTAACATGTAAAGCTGTACTGGAGCTTTTGTGCCCTATACTGAACAGAGTATCGGTGACAAGCTGACTTACAGAATATTGTGGAAATCATGAATGTTTTAAAGGGATACTGTAACCCTGGCACCCACTTCCTGAACTACCCTCTGCTGTGTCAAGGATGAAATACTGAGTCTTTATCTAAACACTTCCTTTTGACTTTGCTGTGACACTCACAGAAGATGGATTATTGCCAGAGTTAAGTGCCTAAACTACAATTTGGCTCAGTCCTCAAAGTGGAGGGTAGATTAAGACAAAGGATCGCAGAGGGAAAAGATTTTATGAGTAGGAAGTGCACAAAGGTACACATGAGTACATAAATACTGGACTTAATAATTTATCATATGTACATTGGATAAGTGTTTGGAGCAGAAAAAGCACATGTAGGGTCACATGCAGATATACAGCAAGCATCCATTTCCTCTCACAGCCTCTCTTTTTTTAACACAATGTGAATTAAGGTTCCTATTTCATACATCATGAATCATTATTTTTCACAACCTATGATGTTACTTTTAATGCTGCTGTATTTTTTAGGCTTAATAATTTAAAAAAAGGCTTTTTTCTTACAGCAACATCATTTTCAGGTTCATAAGACAATGTTTAGCAGCTAATGTATCAAATGGGGTAAAAATGGCACCTGAGACAGAAAACATAAAACATTTTAAAGACAGTTATCTCAGCATCAAAACACTGAGAAAACAGATAAATTCCTCCCTACATACATACCCAGCCCAGTGGCTGGAATAAAATTTCCTGTTTTCTGTAAAAGTTTCTGCAAACTACTGATGTGTTACATTTGTGTGTTACATACATATCATATCAACATTTCTAAAGCGTTGTAGTTCAGATTACATGTACAGTATATGAGCTGAGTTTCTCATCATCAGGATGAGGGGATGGTGGTAGGTGAAACAGTTGCCAAGCAGCAGACAGCAGAAGACCCACTGTTTGAGAGGTCGGAACATTCTCAGCTGTGTTTGTAGTTACAAGTGTGTAGTGTTTTGTTTTTTTCTGATGAGATATTAGAACATTTCCAGCCCTGTTTATGACAACAAATGCAAGTTTCTATAAATGAGAGTTCAGGACCTTTCCAGCCATGCTATTAGTGACAAAGGCATTTTTGGGTTTTTTTGTTTGTTTGTTTTTTACAAGAGATTGAGACATTTCCAGTCATGTTTGTAGCGACAAACTGGGTATGTTTTAACGTGAGGTCTGGATATTTTGAGCCATGTTTATGGTGCCAAAGCAGGTATTATTTTTATCAAGAGGTCTGGACATTTCTAGCCATGCTCATAGCCACAAAAGTGAATGTCTTTTTAATGAGAGTTCGGGACATTTCAAGCCGGGTTGGAGCAGCAAATGCAGGTATTTTTTAATTAGAGGACAGGACATTTTCAGTTGTGTCTGTGGCCACAAAAGCAGGGGTTTTTTTTATGAGTGGTCAGGTCATTTCCATTCATGTTTGTAGCGACAAAGGTGGGTATTTTAAAGGGATAGTGCACCCAAAAATGAAAATTAAGCCATTATCTACTCACCCTCATGCAGAGGAAGGCTCTGGTGAAGTTTTAGAGTCCTCACATCCCTTGCAGAGATCGGCGGGTGGAGCGGCTAGCACACCTAATGGCTGACGGCGCCCCAGACTAACATCCAAGAACTCAAAATTGAAACTACAAAATATCTCCAACATGCTCATCCGTAGTGATCCAAGTGTCCTGAAGCCCCGACGTAAAAAGTTGTTTTGAAAAACGTCATTTGAACTCAGTTTTTAGCCTCATTGTAGCCTGTAGCTCTGACTGCTTCTCTGTGCTCCGTGCTCACGTGTGCGCGC